TCATGAGTTTCAGTTCCTGTGAGCAGATTCTTAATGAGTGAAAAAACCAGTGAACGGATTGAGGGATTCTGACTCAGAGGCCGTCGTCTGACCTTAGAAAGCTCCGAACAAACCCGTCTTTATTACGTTTCGCATTAATATGTGAATTGAATAGACTCATCGCTAAGTGACAGAGATGAAGCAGTGGCCTTGCTAAATAACGAGCCAGTCTTCTTGCCTCTACAAATAGCCCCGTTTCACATTTTTTTCCTACAAAAATTGAATTAGTCAGGATGCGACCAGAGCAGTCGTTTCCCTTTGTGTTCCTTCCTGTATTGTTTACTGGAAATGTACGCATTAAGTGAATCATGCAGACTAATTTCCCAATTCAGAAGACAGCTCTTTACATAATGTAACTTGGATCTGTCCGCCACAAACAGAAAGATACAGAAAATCATGTGAAATCAGCTTTTATCAACTAGCTATTACGTGCATAAAAAAGGATATTATGTGTGTATTTGTCCGGCACTTTTATTAGCAATATGAATATTTTGTTACAGGACATGAGCAGTGATGAGCTCATTTAGCCTCACTTGTTTCTAGCTGATGTTCTCCCTTTATATAACACTGATGAACTCTGTTTGAGAGGCAAGTACGCAATATGTTCCAACAGTTACAAATCTGTTTACAGTCTGACAAATCTCACACGGTCTGCCTTTGTTTTTGTCTGTCTTCTGTCTCTCATTGACAGCGCTGACGTCAGATTCACTTCGGAAATTGTTATTTTGATAGCTGTTATATCCAGAGGTGGGAAGTATTGGAGAACAAATACTTCATTACTGTACTTAAGTACATGTTTCTGGTATCAGTACTTTACTCCACTACTTATTTTTCTGCCGACTTTTTACTTTTACTTCTTACATTTTGAACACAAATACCTGTACTTTCTACTTCTTACATGTTGAACACAAATACCTGTACTTTCTACTTCTTACATGTTGAACTCAAATACCTGTACTTTCTACTTCTTACATGTTGAACTCAAATACCTGTACTTTCTACTTCTTACATGTTGAACACAAATACCTGTACTTTCTACTTCTTACATTTTCCAAACAGGCTGGTTCCTTTAGTTTGAATGTGTGTTTGGTGGCGTGATCATTATTATTTAGAGTCATTGCGTGCCTATTGATTTGAACACGATCCGTGTATCCATCATTTCCTGGTCTTCTCTAAAGAAGAGGGACCAATGAAAACGTTGTCATGTTGCCGTTGTTCAGCATGGAAACATTCATTAGCTAACAATGACATTATTGTTCTATTAATATAAAGGGAGGTCAGGTACTCTTTAAAACAGCTGCTAGTTATGGGTACTTTTTACTTAAAGTGGACCTATCATGCTATATTTGAATAATATATTGTAGGGCCATACCTATATAAAACATGTCTGTGAAGTTTTCTTTTCAAAATACCAAACAGATCATGCATTTTAGCCATGCCTCATTTCGCTCTATTTGCTCTTTTCCAGCCCTGTTTTTGCAAGGGCTGATTCTGTGAGAAGTCTTCTTCGCTGCTTTTGTGGCAGACTACAGCGCCACTTACAGGCCTGGCATATGTACTACAGCGTCTCCAGCGCTTTCGATCGACAATGGCCGTGGCCCAACCCCCCATTCCCCTGATAGGTGGAGAGTTGCCCATATAGGCGGAGCACCCCTTTTCTGACGTCAGAAAAATTCAAATCTGTATCAGCTCCGTTGCAGCCCCGTTTTTAGAAATTTGGGTATGGAGGAAAAGAGAGAGGGTTGTGTTTTCTGACACTTGGTGAGTTCCCTGACACACCGGGGACACATATTCATGTATAAAAGACGTACAAAAGTGCATTTTGCATGATAGGTCCTCTTTAAGTTCATTTCAAAGCCCATACTTCTTTACTTGTACTTGAGTAAAGAACTTTAGTCAGTACTTCTACTTTGACCAGAGTATTTTTAAACACGAGTATCTGTACTTCTACTTGAGTAAAGGATGTGAGTACTTTTGCCATCTCTGGTTATATCACCCCACATGTCACATGTTTTTATTCAAAGGTATTTAGTATCCTATACGTTCTATTTCGCATGTTGCAGCTGTTGTCGTGTGACTTACTTCTGCTTCTCCTCTGAAGTAGGGATGTAACGATGCATCGTGAACCGGTTAAAAATCGGTAACGTTCATTGTACACATCTTTTGAATGGCAGTTACACACACATACTGACCTGTGAATGTGGTGGGGAACTGCGCCATGGTTCACTCGGTCTTCTTCACGACACAACACCTGAAAAACAATGTTTATCTGGTCAATCAAATCATATATCTAACTGCTTGATCGTGCAACATCATTTATAACCACGTCACAATATCCAGCAAGAAAGCTATCACTAGGAATTGGGGAAAGGAAGCAAGAAATCTTTTTGATGGAAAAACTGACTTATAAATTGAGATTGCAAGAAACACAACTCAACAGAAAGTGGGAAAAATGGACTCTACACAAGACTCAAAACAAAGACATTGGACTGGAACAATAGCTAATAGATATGTATCTTCAAGAATATAATAACATGAAGACATATTGCCTTGCTGGCCTTTTGTTACATGATTGTAATGATGTTGTAACCAGCATGTTATTGCCATTTATAATGTGACAATAAAGATTTAAATTACAAACAAATACAATAACCACATCACATTAAGAACATTTCATAGGTGTTTGTATCACCAAGTCTTCTTCACGACACAACACCTGAAAAGCAACGTTTATCTGGTCAATCAAATCGTATATCTAACTGCTTGATCGTCAGCGTTTCTGCCAGGGGGGCATCTTGCCGTCATTTGACCAAATAAATAAATAATTCGAGAGAAGATCGAGTTTTTATCGCTTGAAATGACGAAAAGGAAAAAGAACAAGGACATCCCTCTGTTGGAGGGGCAAAGGAGTCTGGTGGGATTCTTTTCGGAGTATTGAAGATCGTTTCCCCGACATCGGCGGTGCCTGCTACAGGACAACACGGAACGTGCGCGATTTGGACGCGATGAGTGGGGGGTGCTAGTGGAGCACGCGCGTGAACTGCGAGCGCCAGAGCCTCGCAGCGGCGAAACTGAGGCTCCGTGGTAAACTGTGGTAACATGAAGAGCCGTTTGGGAACCGAAACAGCCGGCGCTTTAAGAGAGCCGAGCCAAATGATCCGGCTCACGAACGTAAAGAGATAGCATCTATAAGGGACGGCTCAATTCAAAATTCAAATTTAGAGAGAGTGGATTTGATGCAATTACATTCATAAACACACCTCCGCCCCTCAAAGACTGCAACCACTACCATTTAGAAATATTTATGGCTATTTTACTCACATCCTTTGGTTACTATAACCCTTTATGAAATACACTACATTTATACAGTTTTGTACATTTAACGTGTTTAGACTGTACGTGTAGCACATTGACATGTTATCATCGCTTATACCTCTGCTTTTACCACTCTTATTCATTTGTGTCTATTTTTTACTGCAGTGACAGTTGCCAAAGACATTTCGTTGTACTTTGTATGATGACAATAAAGCTATATTCTATTCTATTACATGCAAATAGAAAAGGCAAATAAACACTGTAGGTCTCAATAGGTGCGTTCACACCGGAGTACTTTGGTGTACTTTTCCCACAATAGTTCATCAGAACTACGATATATTTGCGTTCACACCAAAAAGCCCCAGGAACTAAAGTAGCTCAAATGAGTTCGTCCGACCCGCTTTTCAGTCCCTGCTAGAGAGCAGGGACTGTCGTGGGAGAAAACAGTTCGTACGTCTGATTGGCTGTGCGGAATGCAAACCACGCCCGTTTGACTCTGATTTTTTTTTTGGAAGCGGCCATTGTATTTGCTCGTTTACCCGAAGAGATTACTTTTGTGAAAGCAGTTATTATAGCAACACTAAATAAATCATCGGAGCGGTGGAATTGATGAGGATGTCTCGGCGCTTCTGGCGATTTACTCGGAGGACGTGAAGTGCGGCATTCAGAAGCTTCTACTGCATGCAGTTTCAGTGGATCAGCAAAGTTAGCAGACCTGGCAAAGTCATGTCGTGACGACTACGAAGGTAAAATAAAATACATGCACTGCACTGTTTTAATCTGCACAATACTGGTCTTAGATGTACTTTTATTTGCTCAGTAGATCGAGCTAGCCATGCTAGAACTTGCTAACGTTAGGTCCAAGCTGGCTAACAACATCTAGCTAGCTAGCTATTCTCAGCCGTGCCCGCTATAAACACGTATTGACTTGTGAATAAGTGTGCAATGTTCTGTAATTTGCTTCACTAACTCATGGCACTAATCGTGTGTTTCAGGCGAGGTGTTTCTCTCTGGATTAGAAACTAGTTTTCCCCTCCGGGATAAAACGATAATATAACGTTAGCAATTAGCATGCTAGCTGGACCTCTGTGGCTACACTGAGGTAAACAATAGATTGTAGTTGCTATAATTTCAAGTAATTTGCAACATTCATTCTACATGTTAATGGTAAAAGCTTAAACAGTTGATTACCTGCATGCCACAAAGACTGATGTTCTAATATTTTTGCACATTTAAGTAGAAATGTAATTGAAATTCTATTTACTGCCTAAACATTGTTCCTTGTATTATCCTAAATAGTTTGACCTTGTTTCCTCAGAAGGCTTCTCAGACTACATGGAGGATCCCTCAGAGAAACACAGTTTCCACGTTCAGTTCCCCCCCGCTGAGAGTAGGCAGCTCCACACCCTGTGCCCGGTCAGCGGACACCATCAGGACTACCATCCTGACCGCTGCTGCCATATTGCAGCAAACAGGAGGGAACGGAGGTGAAAACACACTTTATACATTTAGATATGTGGAGCACAAAGAAAAGCATTGCTAAAAAACATTTAGCAGCTAAACTGTGGATAACAAGTAAACCACATTGGTTTGTTATTCAATATTCAAAAGCTTTTTGAATCATTACATGTCACTTGTTAGACGCTTTTATCCAAAGCTTACATACTCAATACTGTGGGCAATCCCCACAGGAGCACTTTGGGGTGAAGTGTCTCAGGGACACAACGACATGCTGACTGCAGTGGGGTTTGAACCTGTGCTCCCCTGATCCCAACACCAATGCACTTATCCACTGCGCTACACGCCTCCCTATCATGTCCTGAGAGCCCTCCATCCCCCAATTGCTAGTGCCTTCACCATTTAAAATGTTAATAGTCAAATCAAAGGTGTTCCCCGTGTTCCTCCTGTTGTGTGCCTGCAGAGACAGATTTGGACAATGTTGTCTCGTTGTTGCGATTAAACTGATCTTGTATCTTGCATATTTCACCTTAGGAAAGTGGGCACGCGATGACAGCTTCCTTGACACCATCATGGCGATGGACCGCCGTGCCATGGTCAGCAAGGAGAATGAGGACCTGCGTGCCAAGGAGATGCACGACGAACGGCTGCTGCATTCACACAAGGCCCAGGAATCGAGGTGGAGCAACAAAATACCTTTCTGGCTGGGCTTCTGGCAGTGCTAAGCGAGCTGATTAAATCCAACAGGCCTTCAATACAAAAATTAAGAAAAACTTGTCGTTGATAAACTGTACAATGACTTGTTGGGAGGCGTGTGGTGCAGTGGTCTGGTGCGTTGGTGTTCGGATCAGGGGAGCACAGGTTCAAACCCCACTGCAGTCAGGATGTCGTTGTGTCCCTGGGCAAGACACTTCACCCCAAATTGCCTACACCTGTGACAGTTAATTTTGTATTATTGTGATTATATATATATATATATATATACACCTTATATATACCTAATATATACCTTATTATATACCTAACTTTGCACTAAGGTGTGTCTGCTGCTGAGCCTACCTATTGTTATTATATATATATATATATATATTGCCACTGTTATTATATTGTTTTGATACTACTGACACTTATTGATCTGCTGCTGATAAATAAAAGAGAACCTAAATGCACGGCACTAGCATCATGACTGTCTTTGTTTAAACCAGCAGCAGTGCAGCGGTACACAGACTAACCTGTGTGTGTGTAACGTAGTTCTTCAGGTGTGCATGCTTAACATGTATGTTAACATGTATGTATACAAAAGTTTTTAAAGAGCTTTCAACCTCATCCCATTGTCTTTAACACACATTTAACATAATATACTCATTAATATACAAATATACAGTACGAGTACTGTTTTGATACTGACATTTAATCTTTGCACTAAGGTGTGCCTGCACTATTGTAATTGTGTCTGTTGACTGGTAAATAAAAGAGAACCAAATGCACTGTACAAAATATCAGCTTTATTGTCAATTTACAATTTCCATGCTGTTCAGATGCCTCTCCACAACGTTGCTTCCAGGCGAATACAGAGGAGTTGAAAAGAGCCCTTGGACATTCGGAAATCTTTGATCCACTGCACATGTTGGCACCACCTCCCACCAGGCCGACGTTCTATTGTTCACCCAGAGTTCCGTAGTATTCGCATATCTGGAACACATACAAAGACACAAATTAGCCCTACATAACTCCATAAATCCTACATTAGATAGTATTAATGTGATTTAATGAACGTACCATTGCTGTTCTTTGGGCGTGATAACGGCCATCATCCTCGGCTGTACAACGGCGAAACATGTCCATCGCGTGTGATTTCGTCGTCTAATCCTTTTGTTAAGGCTTCTTAACCGCCTTCGCCTCCGACTCAGCATTTCTATTGCATTTGAATGGTCGATCTGTATTTGTATTTGTGGCTGAGTTATTGGCTTAAATAACTCCGTTACGAAGCTGTATAACACGACCACCAAAACGTCAACTCCATACCGTGTCTGAGGTCGGAAGGTAAACAGAAGCATCCAGCGGAAGCGGAAGTTTTTTTTCTTCTTCTCTCGGTTTTTTGGCGAATTGCAACTTTAAGGTGCATACCGCCACCTACTGTACTCGCCGTGAAGTTGTTTGCGGCCTGCCAGGAAAACCAAAGCAGAAGAAGAAGAAGTGACGTCAGCGGCTCATTTGCCTAATCCACCCCCAGGAACTCATTTTGGTGTGAACGCGATCTGCTTTAGTTCATCAGAACTAAAAGAGCTCTCATGAACTAAAGTTCTCATGAACTACTGTGGGAAAAGTACTTGGTGTGAACGCGCCTAATGAGGGATATTTTGCTTGTTTTAATGCCAATGTTTTTGGAAAAATGCTAATGCATCTATCTGCTGTTGTCATGTTGTCCATGCTAGCTCCAGAGATTTGACCATATGAGCCACGATGTGCATGTCAACA